AGAGTTGAAAAAGATTTCCCATCAATAAAAAAATTGTAATCCATTATGTTTTATATACAACTTTCATTCAAATCAAAATTTTCAATTTGATAAATTCTTTAGATGAATTTTTTTATAAAATAATATTCAAATACTTTTGTAAGCTAGTGTATAAAATATCTTATATTGTCTTAATCGACATTTTAATTAATTCTGTATATATATAAAATTTCATATTTAAAATAACCTTTGAAGTATATATAATATATAAGTATATATATATAAGTAATAATAATATGTAAGTATATATATATATTTCTGAAACATTCTGTAAAATTCTGTAAAATTTATCATTAAATATCATAAATAAATAAAAATTTTGATTGTAATAATTGTTGTATATAATTTTAACTATTACTTTTAAAATACATATATAGTTAATCGAAAAGTCAAGAATCATTATATATATATGATTTCTATTCATTACAATTCATTAGTTAAGTGATTTGTTATATTGATATTATCTAATCACGAGATAGATCATAGTTAATACGAGAGATTTTCATTGTTGACAGAAATAGTGCTATTGATACTAATACTCAATAATATTATCGATTGACGATAATTCCTTTTGACGATAATAATATTGATAGTAATAATTTTATTACCGTTTAGTTAATACTAGAATGCTCTTAATGCTAGAATGCTATTAATTTTGGATTTTTAATTTTATTATATTTTTTAGAAAATCGAAGTAGAAGGAATTATCAGTAGATAATTTATATATATATATATATAAAATAAAAATTATATATATGATTATATATATGATTAAATAATTTAGTTTTAAATATTCCAAAAAATTAATTTCTTTATTTTTGCACTTGATTTTCGAAATTGAAATATCATTCAAATTAAAGTAACATTTTAACCACTGAATCATTTTAATAATCAGATCATTAACATTTTAATCAGATCAAAGAAACGTGTAATAAAATAAATTAAAAAGTAACAATGAATTATCTAAAATTAAAAATAAAATTTATATTGATAATTTATTATGTTATTATTAAAAAAAAATTAATTATAAATAACTAAATTTAATAACTTAAGAATTTCATTATAATATATATATATATAAAATTCACATAAAACGAAACAATAATGATTATTTTAGATTATCATTTTTTTTTTCTTTGTACTTTTCATTAATCCAGTATATTTCTATCATTGTTAAACTTAAATAATTAAATAATGAAAAGAATGATCGATGATAATATAATCTTTCCCAATTTTATATTTCTTTTTAAAATCTAATTTAAAATTTTAATTACTTTTTTTGCATTTAAAATATACGTTAACTAATAAGATTATCTATAAAAAAAAAAAAAATAAAAAATTTATATTGATAATTAAAAAAAATAAAAAAAAGTAAAAAAAAATTTAATTTTCAGTATGTATTTTTTAAATTTTTACAAAAGTAAATGATAATTATTATAAAAAATCAATTGTTCAATTAATTTTTCATCAATTTTTCTGTTTATATACATCCGAAACAAATTGTCATTTTCGTCTATTCAATTTTTTTTCCTATATTTTTTCAACACTCATTATATCTTATTTCATTCACAATTTTCTTTGAAATTTGAATCTATATTTGTATAATTATAATAATAAAATAATAATAAAATTATAATAATAAAATAATTATAATTATAATTATAATATATAATATAATATAATATAATATAAAATTCAAAAATAAAATAATATTAATATATTAAAAAGAACAATATGGTTCCCGAATTCATTATGGAAAGAATTGATACATCACCACGTATAGCTTCAGAAACTTTAATTTTATATTTGAAAATGTTAATGATTAATTTCATTTATAATTTTATAAATCGAAATTTATATCTTTTATCAAATATATACCAACATATAACATTAACTTATTTAATCTGTAAAAAATATATTTCACTGCAAAACTTTTGTTTTTTAGGTTATGTCAATTATATTTCTTATTATTAGAAACAATACACGATCTGATGAAAATGTGCTTTTCTATAAATAAATCTAGTAGGTGTAACAACAAATGATATCTTTAATCTCTATTTTTCTTATGATTTTTAATATGAAAAATTACAAGTGAAATCACATTAATAAAGAGATATTTGTTTTCTAAAAAACTTAATAACTAAAATCTTTATGAGATACTTATGAAATAAAAACATTAAATATCTGGCTAGTCGTGTAATGTCCGGATACGAACAATTTTTAAAGTAGCCAATTGGCCATAAGATAGCAGAATTGGAATATTAACATATATCCAAATATTCATGAAATATTTCATAGAGTTTGAACTAAAGCTATTATATATGTCGGATATTCAAATATATAGAAAGTATCCGGAAGACATTCTGTTTCAAATACAAAGTTGGAATACTGATTACATTTTATTTTTTAAGAATTATCTTTCAAATGTTTTATTCGAATAACATTAATTCAACAACATTAATTCAAACTTGTTCAATATTTATGATGTTTCAATTTTTGTATAATAAAATTTAGAAATATATATTTATTTTCATTTAGAATATAATATATAAATATGATGAAGATACTAATTATTAATACATTTTTATAATTAATACATTTAATATAATTATAATATAATTATACATAATTATCACATAATTCTATTACGAAAAAATATAAATGTATTGATATTTTTATAAAAATGTCAAAATAAAATTAAATTATTCATTTAAAACATAGTCATGGAATATTTTTTGTTTTTTGATTCTTATTTTTTATTTACTTTAAACAATAAAATTTTTTTCCAGGTACGTTGCTGAAGTATTTATATTTTAATTACTTTTCCACTTTCATTTTCGATAAATCGTACAAATAAGTAAATAATTAAGAAAGACGTACCTATTATAGTTGTCCCATGTACCAATTTTTTTATTAAAGTTTCATGATGAAGTTTTTTAATGATGACAAATTACTTCGCACTATTATTTTTTCCTATTAACACATGATTGTATCATTGAATTGACTAAATGTTGAATCGAATTTTGATTTATATGAATCAAATAATTATATTTACATATATATTAAAATATGATAAAAAATGTAGTGTCAAAAAAAATGAGATGTCAATTTCAAAAATTTATTATCTTAACGAATAACAATAAAATATTTGAAAATGCAATTTATATTTAAAAATTATATTTTTAATATAAATTTTCATTGTAAATGTTTTAGAAAAAAGAAATTATATTTTTGTTATTAATTGAAATAATGGAAATATTCACAATTAGCGAAATGTGTCATGTATTTCATATTCTTAATTAGAAGAATATATTCGATTCGTTAATAAGGAATATTATAAGGAATTAATAAGGAATATGATGAATAAGTAAATTAAAAATAGATTGTCTTTGAAATCTAAAAATAGACTTTCTTATTATATAAACTATTATATATTTATGCATAAAATAAAAGAGATATTATTAGTTTTGAAAAAACGTCGAAATATTTATAAATAATAAAAATAAAATAACTTCTTTTTATTTCGAGATATTCATTTGTTCAATTAAAATTCATTTCGAATTATTCAAATTATTGAATTATTATTTAAGAAAAAATTTTTTCAATATTAATTATTATTGGTGATTTGTTAGCTTTTTATAATGCCCAATAATTATTTTTTTTTTTTACATTTCATAGATTTAATTGATTTCTAGAAAAAACAAATGATTTTTATTATCAGATATTGATTTTATTTCAGTTTATTAATAAATTATTATTAATTATATAAATATGAATGATTATAATTAAATAATAAAACTTTCTCTATAATTTAATTGACCTTATAAGAATATTATATTGTATTTTAAATCGTGTTAAAATACAATATAATTAAAATTAAAATGTGTTAAACTACATTTTGTATCTAAAATGAAGTTTCATTTTATAATTTATATATTATATATATATATATATATAACTACTTAAAGATTTTTATGCAAATATGCAAATGCATATTTTTCATATCATATATGTTTCATATTTTATATGAATAATATAAATATTATACAACTATAATGTGTTGCTGAGATATCTTTGAAAAGACATTCTAGAAACCAAAATAAATATATAAGTTGATGTTACAAAAATATCAATTTATTTTTATTTATTACAAATTGAAGTTTGTGTTAGATTAAAAAAAATATAAACAGAGAAATTTATTTTATTTTGTTTTTTGTTTATTTTTACATGTAGAATAATTATCTATCGATAATTCATTCGTATTAATATTAATAAGTAATAGATAATTGATATCATTGAAAAATAATTATTTACGAAGAAGTTTTACTTTTGAGATTTTAAATCTTGAAATATGAAGGTTCATTTTGAATAATTATAGATTAATTAATTATTAAATTAAATTATTATTATTTATTAAATTAAATTTAACTTATTATTATACTTAATTATTATAGATTAGATTTGATTGATTTATCTCAATTTACATAATTCATCATCAATTACTTTTCGTTTAATTAAGAATTATATCGATTTATTTATATGTAATTATTACATTCATTTAAAATTTTTTATAATTATATTTCTTAGCAATCTTATCATTTTCATAATATGTTTGTTTATTCACAAATTACTAACAAAACATTATTTAGGAAAACTATGTATCATATATCCTAATCAAATACAATTAATACACCTATTATAAAAAATGCGATATATATTACCAATTATAAATCTAAATTTTTTCTAAATATTTTGAGAAATAAAATCAAGAACACATACAGAAAAAAATTGTTCAGAATCATGGATAACATATTTCAAGCATATTTCATAACATATTATCAAAATCAGTGAAAAGTATCTTTTATAAATAATTGTCCATTTTATTTATATAAAGGCACAAAAATTATAAATCTACCATTTAAAATTGTTAACAATTATTTTTCGAATATCCAACTTTATACAAGGTAAAAAGTTTGGTTGATGCAAACAGTTTCCATATTTGCATCTATTTTGGCTTCCAATTGCATTTTCCAGCGGCATGCATGCGATGCAATATCGTCGAGTTGCGTAACTGTTGGCTCGTTCGAGGGGTGAAGCTTGTGCGTTAGCCACAAAGGTAGTCCGATGCAATCACCCTCAATATTGTACAGAGCTTTAAACGTTTTCATATTTCCTAATATCCTGTTCCATTCTTGTCTCATTGAAATCTGATTTTCTCTATAACTAAAATGTCATTTCGAAAATATGTAATGTTCATATTTCGTTTTGAAATTAAATGTAAATATTGATTTTATAAAATGATACCCTTCGTAAATTTTAGATTTAATTGAAAGCAATCGTTTGTTTCGAGGAACTGTCTGTCATGAATCATTTTTTCTTTTTTTTTTTTTTTTTGTTTCATTTTATACAGTGTACATAGCGAGAGTGATAGAAAAAAATAAATTGAAAATACGATAAAGTTTTTTTATAAAATATCAAGATCCATTAAAAAAAATAAAAACGAGTTTAAAAGTTTAAATCAAATATGCGCGAAGTACTGCTTATTTCGTTATATATATAACGATAAAAAAGATAATATTGATAATAGGAAATATTATAACATTTACAAATACAAAAACGAATAATAACAGACTCTATAATGATTCGTTAGATCGAAAAAAATAGTGCATATGTTGATGAATTTCCAAAATCATTTGTTTTTTTAAATAGGAAACGAAGTTTTATTTTATAAAAATTTTATTTTACAATTTTGATGTATTTTTTTGTAAAAAATTATTCCTGATTATATGATTCTTGTTAAGATGCACAATATGCTACAATACATTATAATGAATTAATAATTTAAAATATTACAAATATTATTATTAATTGTGATTAAATTATATATGAAAATATTATTAAATATAAAAAATATAAATA